TCATGTGTTAAGGCATTTGTGTGACCTGAGGTCTGTTCTTTATAGCTGAACTGTTTGCACTAGTTCAGAGTTCTTCTTTCTCCTTCCAATGTAGAGGAAAAAAGATAAACTCTGAACTAGTGCAGCCAGTTCAGCTATAAAGAACAGACCTCTGGTATACATGATTTCGGATTCGAGATACTAAAGTGTACGAAAATTACATACATTGATCTCATTTTCGAGAATCTAAATATACGAAATGAAGAAAAGAAAGGAAGTTATTAGAAAGAAGGAAGAACGAGAGAAAAAATATTAGAGCGCGAGTGGCTCTCTAGTAGACGAATCAATTTTCTGTATGAAAAATATTAATAATTCTTGCACTAACATCCAGCGATGGCTCGAGATGCCTTTCAATTTGTATTAATTTGATTTATATCATACGAGCCTAGTCTTTATATATTAATAAATAATTTTTTAATTCATAAATTTAAAAAATCTAACGTAAAATATCATTAAATTGAAAAAAATTATTAGTATTTTAATTGTTAATTTAAATATAATATGTAAGTTAAAATTTCAGAATACAATAAATCTTATTTTGTATTTTATAAAAGATAATATCCTCTTTTTAAAATTTTGATGCCAAATTTTAATTAAAAAATCATAAAAACTTATAAAAATAAAGTTTGATGAGAATAAAAGAAAAGCAATTTTTAAATTTACATTTGCTATATTAAATCTGCCATATTGAATTTTGAGCATAGATTCAAATTCAGCAATCCCTACCATTAGGTAAAATTTTGGAAAAATCCTATAAATAAAAAATATTGTATTTCCTTTAAAACGACACATATATGCATCATCAAGATTTAAAAGATTAAGTTATTTATAAATTGTAAACAATGCTCAATTTTGATCAATTGTGGAGTGACAAAAACTTACATTATGTTTTGATAACACAACTTGATGATACTTACAGGAAAACCTAACTTTTGAATAATTCTCGCGTACTTTCTAGCAGCAAGGCGCGAATCTCCTTCACTCTTAGCGCCAGTGCAGACCATTTTGCCGCTACTGAATATTAGTGCAGTAGTTCTTGGCTCTCTTATTCGCATAATAACAGCAGCAAACCTTTTTGGATTATATTCAGCATTTCTAGCATGAAGTGCTATTTTCTTCAACTCAAGCTTACAATTTAAATTGACAGTGGATACAATGTTTCTAAAATAAAAGAAAGATATGTATATGTGTAAAGAAATAAAGTAGAAAAAAAGTAGAAAATATAATACTATACTTAATTTCTTTATAACTTACTGCAATTGTGGTAGTATTCCAGGATCAGCAGAAGCTGGTGTCATTGGCGTCATGGGTCCAGGAGTTGCAGGACCTATCGATACTGGCGTTATCTGATTATTTTGAGGTATTATTGGAGACATCATATTTTGCTAAGACATAAAAAAGTAGTATTAAAATCATAAAATACGTTAATATGTAATACACAATATTGCATTTTAAAATACATTTTGTAAATAATTTTATACATTTTTTAAATTTTTCCATAGCATTGATCCTTTTCAATTTAAAGATCTTAATGTCAAAGTAATTACATCTCAAATTTTTATTAAAACAATTAAATCAATATTTATAGAAAAAAATCAACGTAAAAAAACCAAAATTTAGATGCTTAAATTTTGTCGGATTAATTCTTACATTGTAATAAAGCTTATAATTGTCAATCAATTTCCTAAGCACTCATAATTTAACAACCATTGAAAATATAATTCTGAATTCTTTTGAATTTTCATTCCTTAACACTTTGCCGACGGAATATATTCTGTTTTATTGTGTGCGCATTCAGATTTACTCGCTATAAACTAAAGTATTAGCGTATTAGAGTTTCCGAAAAACAAATTGTTAAGTATTAATCTTTGGAAACAATATAATATGTAAAATATACAGAAAATTTGTATTATGTGTGTGAACTGATAATTCCAATTAAAAAAATTCTACATTGTCTCGTAATATCGTAAATAATATTTTTATTGCAATTATTAGTAATTACTAGAATACTGTAAAATTTTCGAATACTGATGACCATAGATTTCTAAGAAAAAAACTTGTTGAAAAATTTATATTTTGTCAATTTATTCATATTTTGTTTTAATATTAATTTTAATTTTTGTTTTAAATATTTTATTAATTTTAATGATTATTGCTTCACAAAATATAATTACTTTATTAAATAAATCTTTGTAAAAAAGTTTAAGCACATATAAATTGTCAGAATATGAAAATTTTGATACTTCTTTCTTTAAAAACCTATAATTAAAATTTTCAATTAAAATTTTCAATTTAATTTAATAATGGACAGTATTAATTAATTATTAATAAAAAATTCATCTCAATATTGTATAAATATTGATGTCGAGTACTTTCTTTGTAAAACATGGCATATATATTAATATCGCATTACCGGTGTTTGCGGTTGCATAAGACTTTGTGGTGTCGCAAATGTTGGAGTTGGAGCATATGTATGCATAGTCTTCTGTGGCGTTAGCATTAACATGCCACTCTGCATGTTAGGGCTCATTGAATGTAATTGTTGCAACTGATATTGTTGTGATTGCTGTTGCTGTTGCAAGGCATTTGGTAGAATTTGTTGATCCTCTTCTGGTTGATGCAAAGGTGTACCAATGCTGGGTATACTAAATCCAGGACTGGGAAGCATCTGATCCATCTTAAATGTTTAATAAGAAAATCCTTGTACACAACTGATGCTATCTGTAATAATAAATCTTATTTCAAATTATGATCAATTTCTTGAGGTTATGGTTGCATCGTAGAAATAATTCATAGTTTACTTTCGTCAGTAATAGATCTAAAACATTATTGATTTCTAAAAACTGCTTATTTTTTACTTGATCAAATTACAAATCATAAGAATTTATTTAAATAAAACTGTGTTGCTCTTCGCATTTCAATATTTAATATTCAATACTCAGATTATTAAGCTTTATTTAGTTTTACTAAGCTAAGTAGCTTCGTTAAACATCTATTTCTGATATCATTATTGATATTAAACTTATTGTACATCAAAAACTCACTTTGCTACAATCCAAATTTATTTAACATATAATTTGTATATATGAGCTTTATTTACCTTTATTCAAAATTATCACGTAGCAAAATTATTACGGTACATTAAATATGAAGAGATTAATGTTATAAAGAAGCTTCTTTTCGTATGTATGTATATATATATATATATAAATTTTGTTTCATCAAAATAAATTTAAATAATTCGCTAACTATTTTTTTAAACGTGTACTGTTTTGTTTACAATCATAATCACTGGCATAGTATATATAGTAGTGTAACTCTCTCAATTCAATGTTAAGGGTCGACAGGAGTGAAACTAGCACCTCTGTCGGAATAGAAGTAAAGCTCGAAATCGTAATAAACAAATTTCGATCATAGGCCGGTATTCATAGTCCGTTCTTATATTCAAGATCGTCTTAAGCACGGACTAAGGAATAGAGGGACTGAGTCTAAAGTCCTAGTTTAGGCGAGAGGGGATGGTAACTCAAGCGTGCGGGGGGACTGCTTTCCGCCATATTAATGTAGCGATTCTCACACAGAGATTCTGTGTCTGTGACATGGTTACACTCGTGTAGTGGTGCCACTAGACATAACGAGTGACAAGCATAAAGAGGTTAGGCGATTTTATTATTGTTGTATTATAAATTTTATAAAATACTTTAACTTTTATTACTCTGAGGCTCTGCATACAGTAGACAAAATATTAGAAATAGCAATAAACATTTAATATTAAAAAAAGAAATTATTTTACATCTAACAAGAAAATAAAATATATTAATTAGTTCCAATTCTTATTTCTTAATTTATGCATTAATTTTTTCTATTCTTTTTATTTTTAAAATAAATAATTCCAATTTCTTATTTCTAATATTTAATAATTATTTCTATTTCTATTTCCTATTTTGTTTATTGTGCGCAGGATCTGACTTTCATTTCTCACATATACGCAAATAGTGAGTTCTATGTGTGGTAATTACTAAACGAATATGGCGGCCCTCCCCCCGCCGCAAACGTGCTCCCCCGGTACAGCTTGTGCACCGTCCCTCTATTCCTTAGTCCGTGCTCCCTCCTGTTTCTTTTTACTCAATGCTTAGAACATATATACTGGAAGGGGCATAGGTGACTTGCCGTTGTTCTCAACATCTATCTATCCTTGTCTGTACATTTTATTGCAATACGCATGCGTCGATTATGTTGATGTGTGTGATGACAAACTAGACAAGCTTATCTATGGGTTTGTTCGTTTTAGCTACACTGGGGCTGCTCTGGGTTAGAGTCCCTATATATAGAGTCTGGCCACGCTTGTGTTTATTTTTATTGGTCGAAACAAAGTTTGGAAAAACATGGCGGAACCAATAGGAATTCTTATAAAAAGTATAATAATTTGAAAAAAAATAGAACAAGAAAATTAATAACAATTAATATTATTCTTTTCTAGAAATTTTTAATTGAAAAATAAAGAAAAATTAACTAATAATACTTAAAATCATATCATTACAGTATATATTATTATTACTTATATATTCAGTATCACAATAATGTTTGTATCACAATAATAAATAAAACTCATTTAAATAAAACTTATTATAAATAAAACTTATTGTAAATAAAACTATTAAAAACAATGTAAGGTTAGAATTATAATTTTTATGACATATCCTATTTCTTTATAATATCATTATTCTTAGATATTTTATTTTAGAAACCATATACCAAATAATTGTACTTACTTTTATAGACTTCACTCTGCTTTTATTAATACTATCAATTTGTAGTCGAATAAGGTGTAGTCAATGAAAGTTTTATTCCATAAATATGGTAAACACAAGATGCGTCTATGCATATACCGCCGCCATGTTATTCCAAAACTAATCGAGTGGCCAGACTCTATATATAGGGACTCTACTCTGGGTCTGCTCTACACAGGATAATACAGGACAGATAAATAGTTTGTCCTGTATTATCTTGTTTAGAGCAGACCCAGAGCTGCCCCAGTGCAGCTAAAACGAACAAGCCTTATGACAAGCCTTTCAATATAATCAAGTCTAAAGAAATAATCATAAAAAAGTATACAAAACTAATACTATTTAAACATCAATGAAGTTTTTAAATATTTTTTTTATTATTTATTATAATAATTTTTATTGTACTAGTTACTATATATACAAGATATAATTAAAATAAGATAACAAACTTTAGAGGAGCGAGAATATTACATAATAATAAATATTACTTTTTTATTTTTCATTAATAATATATATTTTATATCAGTAACAGTGGGTTTGACGGACATATGTTGATGTCAAATTTTTTTATGTTTGGTCTCGCTCCTCAAAGTTTGTTAT